TCACACCGAGCACGTGTGTGTGCATGCCCAAGATCCCAAGAGGAGAATGGAGGAGAAGGGGTTGTTGTGTGGCCATCCCCCTTGGGGGGGGTGATTTCTCACTTTCTGTCTCTCTATCTCTCTCTGTCTTTCTGGTGAGCGTATGCGCCCTATAGCTAAAACCTCTCCAAAAAAAAAAAAGAGAGATTTTATTACTGAAAAGTATCATAGTATAATAGAATTTTTATTTAAATGCATAATACTCATAAAATATGAAGGGTGTATTTTATTTCTCTTTCTCAATGATAATAGGATATGATAGATGATCTTGATTACTACACCAATACCTACAAAATACACTTGAAGGGCCCCCAAAACTGTCAACGATTCATTGACTCTCCGAAAGTAATCAATTGAAATCAAGCATTTACAGATTCAAAGTAAGTTTGAGGAATGAGATGTGTGCTGACTCCTATGTTCTGAGCAAGTCAAGTGTTCAGATGACTCATATATCCTCATCCAAGCTCAAGAGAGGTTGTCGATTTTTTAAAAAAATAACTCAGTCCCTTGATTACCAAACTACATGATTACGTAGCTCAGAAAACTTGGTTCCAATCTTGCTGTTGACACTAAAGACAAGATCTTGAATGAATCCATCCCTGGAAATCTTTTCCCTTCTGCAAAACAGGGAAAGTGACACGAATATTTACTAGGTGACCCCATCACACAGTGGCAGTACCACAGCAGAACCAAGGTTTTCTGACCTTATATCTCAAGTATTCCTACTCAGCAAAAGTTTCTCCCTAGGATATGCTATAACCATGGCATTTCTTATAATCTTGTCTAGGTTCACAGAGAAGCCTAAATGAGGTGATACAAAACCTTGCACCTACCAAATCTTTCAAAGTTAAACACAATGCAGTCTCTATATGACATCAGGTTCCTTCCCTGCTGAATGGAAAGAATTTATCTGCCAGGTGGCAAGCCTAAGGCCATGTAAGTCTGATAAAACCCACTTCACACTATTCACACCTCTTGCTAACAAGTTAACCTTCCAGCTTCTCTTCCTGCTTTCACATTGGCTTCCCTAAATTAATATTCTGCAAAACTGTCAGAATAATTTTTTAATTTAATATATTTTATTTTAGCTTAATTTCTTTTATACAGTCTTTTTAAAATGTAACTTAAACCTGGGCTAGCAGGTGGCATGGTGGTTAAGGTGCTGGACAGCTGACTGTGGTTGGAGTCCCAGACCCAGTAGTTTGAAACCCACACTGGGCACATGTGTATGCATGCTCCAATTCCTGAGAGAAGAATGGGGGAGAAGGGATTGCAGTGTGGCCATGCTCCCTGGGGAGTGATTTCTTACTTTTCCTCTGTCTCTCTCTGTCAAGCGCACATGCTATATGTCAAAAAGGCAAAAACCTGAAAAAGAAAAAAATGTAACTTAAATCAGGTTACTCTTCTGCCTATAAGACTCCATCATTTCTCTCATCATCTGGAATAAATTAGACCTCTGTCTCCCACTCTGATCTTTCTTGCTCTTCCTGTTTACTTCCTCCAAAACCATTAGCATTCTTTCTGTTCCTTTACCATCATAAGCTCCTCCATGCCCTAAGATTATGCACTTGCTATTTCCTGTCTATTCCATCTTTTAAGAAAAATAACAGGAAGAACAAATATGAACTTTTATGCTCATGAACTTTGATTTCTTCTTGGACCCTCCACAGTAACCAGTAGATATTTAAACTCTCATCTCTGGATGTTACTCCTGCTGTCTTAGTAAATAAGTATTGGCATTTTGGCAGCAATGAGAGGAGCCAGAAATTCCTCAAGCACTGTGTCCAGATCTTCCCCAGCTTCTGCGTTCTGGGGCCTGAGGACACCCCAGTGTCCTGAGCCTAATGGACCAGACTGGAGAGATACGGATGGCAGACACCATGCCTTAGTATCAAGAACAGGGCTTGGTCTCCTACATGATCTATGCCCAGGTCTCGATAAGCTTAGCTTTCCCATCTATTCTCATGTAGACAAGAGCAACATCAATATACAAAAAAATTGTCACACTCTGCATCATATCCAAATGCCCTGTCACTGGAACCAGTGGAACTGGTTCTGTGTACCTCTGTAAAGCTGGCCCTGTGCACAAGACAGTGTCAGGTGGGTCAGGCATGTGCCTGGAGAAGTGGATAATGGACAGAGAAAAGAATAAATTGCAAGCAACAATAAAGGGGTAGACACTGGAATCTGGGGAAGCAGCGTCAATGGTTTAAGAACCACCATGTTCCCTGTGCTCAAATTGCTCATGAACTTCCCTTAGTTTACTCACAGTGAAGCAGACCCAGGTCCTCCTGCATCGGACCCATGTAGTAGCCCCCCTTGCTTCCAAGATCTCTGTGACACTCATCCATCACCTACCTACATTGCTTCTCCTGGAACTCCTAGGGTATAGATTTGGAGACTATTGCCAATTTTGCAGGGGCAAGGGAGAGACATACAAATTTCTGTGTACTGTCACTTTCTTTCTATGGCCTTTCTTTTAGTAATCACCAAGTGGACTCTCCTCATTAGCTCTTTAGAGCGTATCCTCTCCTCTGCTTACTGCGTTATAAGTACAGGAAACACACAAATCATATGAGGCATCAGGTTCAACCCAACATACGTGATATATCAAAGAGAGTTTCTAGGATAAAGACTAGCTCTGTTAGCCTGTCCTCTTCCAGTTCCTACTCCAGAGGAGATAATCTAGTGTTGCTTCTAAACACCATAACCCCCAAACTTATCACAACTCCCAAAAAACGAACAGATTTTTGTATTCAATTATGTAAGGGTAAGCTAAATGGTTTACTATAGGAAGAGCATGTGAAGAGAAGGTGGATGCACCCTGACCCAGGGAGATGGGAATTTTTAAAGAAATGGTAAGAGTTGAAGGGGAGGGGAGTATAGCACGGATATCAACTGTTCCAGCTGACTTGGCACACTAGCTGTTATTCCATTTTTTTTTGCTGCTCTAAGAAAATACTAACACTGGATAATTGATAAAGAAAAGTATTTCTTACAGTTATGGAGGCTGGGAGTCCAGGATCGAGGCACCTGCAGGTGACTGATGAGAGCCTGATCTCTGCTTTTGAGATAGCCTTTGTTGCTATATCCTCTGGAGGAGATAAACACTGTGTCCTCAAATGGAAAAAGGACAAAAAGCAAAATGGGGGCTTAGCTAGTTTTCCTCCAGCTCTTTTAAAAGGTATTAATCATATCTATGAAGGAAGAACCTTCATGGCCTAATAACCACCAAAGGATCCCACCTCTTAAAGCCTTTGCATTAGGGAATCTGTATGAACATGAATTTTGGAGGGGACACAGCCTTCAAACTATATTACTTCAGGATGCCTAAACTCTAGGAAGTTCAGACAATTATCTTATGCAATAGTTGATTGTTGGTGGGGACATCACAAGAAATATTCTTCTAGGTTTGGTCAGGTTAGCTGAGACAATTTCCTGACTTAACGCTTCAAGAGAAACAGCATTTACTACCAGTATTGGGCCTCAAAGAGAGCTCTGGAATGAAGGTATTCACTTGAATTAAAACTGATTCCCTTCTAGTTCACCTAAGGGTAGACTTAGATTATAGACTTAAGGGTGAACATGACAACCCACTCTACCCTACAAAAAAAAAAAAAAAAAGAAGAAAAAAAAGACTAAGGTTTAATTTTCTGGCTCGTCAAGAGAATAGAGACTCAGTTTAGAGCCAGGTTTCTTGGCCTTGATACGATGACATCCATTGGATAATTATGGATAATTCTTGCTGTGGAAGCTGTTAGCATGATCCCTAACCTTTTACTCACTAGATGCCAGCCATATATTCAGCCCCAGTTTGGGCAACTGATAACATCTCCAGATATTGACAAATACCCAGCAGAGGCACAATATCCTCTGACTGAGAATTGCTGGTTTAAAATAGTGGTTCTTAATCTTCAGCATATGTCAGAATTGTCTGGCAGGCTTGAATCATGGGGCCTAACCCCTAGGTTCTCTGATTCAATAGATCTTTGGGGAGAGCCCCAGAATTTATATTTCTAACAAATCGCCAGGTGATCCCGAGGCTTCTGGTCCTAGGACCATGCTTTGAAAATCACTGAATTAGAGGTCAGCAGGTGGCCTCATGGTTAAGGAGCTGGACTCCCTCATGGTTGACCATGGTTGAGTCTCAGAGCCAGCGGCTTGATGCTGGGTGTGGTGTGTGCTTGCTCAAAATGCTGAGAAGGGAATGGAAGAGAAGGGATTTTGGAGTGGCCATTCCCAAGGGGGTGATTTCTCACTACTGTCTGTCTTTCTGGTGAGCACACATACTCTATAGAAAAAAACTCTCAAAAAAGAAAAGAAAGAAAATCACTGATTTAGAGATATAACAGTACCTTTGTTTCCCAGCTTACCTCTGCTATAGGTAACCAGGGAGGGAGAACTGAGGAAGGATGTGTTGCCTACAATGATGAATATTCTGGAAAGAAAGGCTGGGATGACCAGCAGGTTAAGGCACTGGACTCCCACTTGGCCAACTGCAGTTTGAGTCCTGAACTTGGAGACTTGAAACTCATACCAGATGTATGTGTGCGTGCATGCCCAAAATCCTGAGAAGAGAATGGAGGAGAAAGGATTGTGTTATGGCCATACTCTTTCGGTGGGGGAGATTTATCATTTTCTCTCTGTCTCTGTCTCTCCACTGAGCACATACGCCCTATAGCAAAAAATCTCTCTGAAAAAAAAAGAAAGAAAGAAAGAAAGAAAGAAAGAAAGAAAGAAAGAAAGAAAGAAAGAAAGAAAGAAAGGAAAGAAAGGCTGAGACAACATACACAAGCAGCCTCCCAAACTTGCAAATCATCTCCCTGCACATTAGATCTAGAGGGAGAAACTTGGATGTCATTGAACTTCATGCCAGCTGTTTTTGCTTTGTTTTCTTCCAGCTCAAAAGAACAAGGTCCACATTAAAATTTTGGGTTTAGCAATTTCTGTTGACCATTTACTCATCACAGAGCTGCAGGTCCTAGCAGAACATGGTAGGACATTAGAAAAATCTGCTGCTGCTCATTTGTTCCTGGCAACTTCTCTGAGTATATACAACTTTCCCGGTGAAGACTCATCTCACAAACGAGAACCACTGCTTTGTGACCCTTTGTCCTTTTTCTCCCACTGTGAGGTAGGAAACATGTAATGCTCTTGTTGGTTTAGATAGGAAGTGCTGAGCTTTTTAAAAGAAACTTATGCCGGGGGAAGGGGGTCTTCAAAAAGTTTATGAAAAACTATGTGTGGCTTTCAAAATTTTCATATCAAAATAAACTTGTACTTATTTATTTATTTTTTATGTTTTACATTCTATTGCTTGTCTTTACAGTATACATTTATTTTTCCAACACAAATACCATGCATGTTTATCGAGCCAAAGATATTATCATATACATTATCATCAGCAAATAGCTTCTCGTTTTTTGTCAATTAAGCAGAATTTTACTCCTTTTTTTCCTTCCCTTTTCCCCTCCCTTCCTTCCATACTAAACGTTTTTTTCACATTTTATTGATTCATGAAAGATCTTAAAGTTTCCACAAAGCTAGACTCTAGTGACAAATGCATTGTAATTTTCTTCTGAGACATTTTTTTCTCTTTTCATTCCCCCTTTTACTAAAGAAAGTTATAAACCAATTTATTTGCAAAAAAAAAAAATTAGATTAATCTAAATTTGATCTGTTATTTGCACAAAGACCCATAAGAATTCAATTACTGATATAAGACAACAGATACTATTGTATTATTGAACTTATGCAAATAACCATTCTGCTACAAAATAAGAATGCTCACAAATATTTTCCAATTGAAAAGGGGTCAGAAGGAAGACAAGTTTATGTTATGTTTCAATTTAAAAAATTCTTTTTTTAACAAATTGCTGAACCCAAAGGCTCAAAACAAAAAATCCTTAAATCTGGAAGACAATGCATAGAAGAAAATCAGTAATGTTTTAGAAAAAATTATAGAATTATATTTGACCAGTTCAATCTCGTGTAATCTCTCTTTTGTTGAATTTGCAGTGTTACTGTGGTCTGACCTTTCTATTAACATTCAACATTATTATTGATATTTCAGAATTTGTTGCTACCATTAAGTTGGCCTTTTTCTTGGTCATTTGTGTTCTTTTATTTGTCTTAGTTTTCCTGATATAGTACTTCCTTCAGAAATTCTTGAAGAGCTGATCTACTGTTGGTAAATTCTTTCAGATTTTGTTTTTCTGAGAATGATTTTATCTTTTCTTCCCATATGAAAGATAATCTTTCCTGATACAGTATTTTTTTTTCTTTTTTTTTTTAAATTTTTTTTGGAGAGATTTTCACTGTAGGGCGCGTGCGCTCACCAGACAGACAGAGAGAGACATAGAGACAGAAAGCGAGAAATCACCCCCCAGGGGGATGGTCACGCCGCAATCCCTTCTCCTCCATTCTCCTCTCGGGATCTTGGGCACGCACGCACACGCGCCCGGCGTGAGTTTTTTTTTTAAGCCACCGGGTCCGGGACACGAACCACGGTCGACTACGTGGGAGTCCAGCGACATAGCCATTACGCTAACTGCTGGTTCCCCTGGTACATCATTTTTGATTGAAATTGTTTTTCACTTAACACTTTGAATATATTTTCCCATTCTTTCCTTGCTCTCACTGTTTTCAAAGAGAGGTCCAATGTTAACCTGATGGATTATCCTTTGAAAGTAACTTGATGTTCTCTCTTGCCAATTTTAGTATCTTGTCTCTGTGATTTTGGTCAATCTGGCTATGATGTGCCTTGGAGAAGATCTTCTTGGCCTGATTCTATGTGGTGTCCTTTGTATTTCTTGGGTCTGGATATTTGAATGCCTCTCTAGGTTTGGAAAGTTTTCTCCCAGGATTTCATGGAATAGATTATCAATGTCCTTATTAGTTTCTTCACCTTCTGGGATACTGATTATCCAGATGTTTGGATGTCTAATGGTGTCTAGTATTACTCAAATATTCTCCTTTTGGGGAGTTATATTCTTAATCTTTGTGGTGAATTTTTCTGGGTCAGAGGTTCTATCTTCTACATCTGAGATTCGATCTTCTGCCTGATTTAATCTGTTTTTAATACTTTCAAGGGAGGTTTTGATTTCCTGTATTACAGCCTTCATCTCTAACAGTTCTATTTGATTCTTTTTCATGGTGTGTATTTTCTCTTTCAGATAGTAGAACTTCCTCACCTCCTGGAACTCATTGTCTCTTTTCTCCTGCATTTTCTGGAGTTCATTGTCTCTCTTCCTTTTCATCTCTGTGCTGTTCTTCACAGAGGGGATAGAAATCTAGAGTGACTATACTTTTTCTCCCTTTACCAAGATAGTTATTTTAAATTGGGGCCATTTTTGTTTGTTTGTTTGTTTTGTTTTGTTTTTAGAGAGATTTTTGCTATAGGGTGCGTGTGCTTATCAGAGAGAGAAAGAGAGACAGAAAGTAATAAACCATCCCCCAGAGGGAATGGCCACATCACAATCCCCTCTCCTCCATTCTCCTCTCAGGATTTTGGGCATGCATGCACATGTACCCAGTGTGAGTTTTAAGCCACTCATTCCAGGGCTTGAATTGCAGTTGACTGTGTGATAGGCCAGCAATATAACCATTATGCCATCTGCTGGCCCCAGATTTCAACAGATCTATCTCATCTGTCACCTCCCCAGGTTTAATAAAATTGCACAGGTCTAGATCCTATTTATTCAGCGTTGCTATGATCTGAATGTCTGTGTCTGCTCAACATTCATATGTTGAAACCTAGTGCCCAAGGTGATAGCACTAGGAGTTGGAGTCTCTGGGAATTGATTAGTTCAGTGGGGTAGTGCCCTTAGAAAAGAGACCCCAGAGAGCTAACTTGTCCCTTCCACCATGTGAAGAAACAGCTAGAAGGAACCATCTATAAACCCTAAAGTGGACCCTCATCAGACATTGAAACTGCTAATGCCTTGATCTTGAATTTCCATAACTGTGACAAATAAATTCTTGTTGTGTTCAAGTTGCCCAGTTCATAATATTGCATTGTAAGAGTCTGTTATAGTTTGATTGTTCTTGAAAATTCACATGTAGGGACTTGGTCATATTGTAAAGGTGTTAGGTGAAAACTTAATGCCTTTGTGGGGTCCTTTGAGTAGGACGAAGCCATAGTGTGGGGGACTAGGATTGAGTTATAATGAGTTTATAAGAGGGTAAAGAAGACCAGAATAGGCAGAAACTTGTGGACAGCTGTTCTGCCCAAGATCCTGCCATCTTTCACGTCATAACTTCACCAGAAGTTAGCCTCTGGACCTCAGACTTCCAAACCATATGCTAAATAAACTTCTATTTCTTTATAAATCAGCCAGCCTCAGATATTTATGCTGGCAATTGAATGGCATACTAAGACAAAGTTCTAAACAGAGTGCGATATATTTCACATTCCTGGATGCTTCTTGCTCCTCTCTCTAGACTAAGGTACCTTCCAAGATGTTTCACTTGCAAGGTCAACAGAAGTTGCTGCTGTTAGAAAAATCCTTGAGGAGCTGCCTCCCTGAGTCCTTAAAGGTGAGAATGACATATTCTAACGAAAACAAAGAGCTGTATCTTTCTGTTTAAGAGATGCGAAAGAGAATACCTTTACTGACTGGCAGATATGCACTCATGCTACATTTCATTTAGTTTACTTTTCTCTTTGTAAGGGAAGCATATTATGCTTACATCCCAGAAAAAGGAAACAAGTCCCAGTAATGTGACTTGCACATTGGCATATGGCCAAATATTTTTGTATACTAACTCAAAAACATTTCATTGCTTATTTCCAAAAAGTGTTTCATGGTAACAATGGAAGTTTTCCCTGATTTCCTTTAAAATGTTGATGTAAGAATATATGGGGAAACTGAAAATTTTGTGAAAACATAAAATTAAAGTATGAGTTTATTTTGGTACAAAAAGATTGAAATATATGGGTAGGTTTTTCATAACACACATTTTACGTAAACTTTTTAAAAATTATCTTGTACTAATTTTTAAATATTTGTGACAGATGAGAGATTAACCATTGTATGCCTTATTAGAACATATAATGAGTTGGGAACCAGCAGTTAGCGTAATGGCTATGTCGCTGGACTCCCACGTAGTCGACCGCGGTTCATGTCCCAGACCCGGTGGCTTAAAACTCACACCGGGTGCGTGTGTGTGCGTGCCCAAGATCCCGAGAGAAGAATGGAGGAGAAGGTATTGCGGCGGGACCATCACCCCTGGGTGGGGATTTCTTGCTTTCTGTCTCTCTGTCTGGCGAGCGCACGTGCCCTATAGCAAAAACCTCTCCAAAAAAAAAAGAACATATAATGAGTCAAATTCTATTTCATCAAAACTCTAAAGATTGTGTGTCATCCAGAAGAAACCTAGAAATGGTTATACATATATGACCTATTTCTTATTTATTTCTTTTAGGTTTTTGCCATAGTGCATGTGTGCTCACTAGAGAGAGACAGAGAGAAGGAAAGTGAGAACTCATTCCCCAAGGGGAATGACTGTTCCACAGTCCTTTCTCTTCCATTCTCCTCTTGGGATTTGGGGTACACATGCACATGCACCTAGTGTGATTTTCAAGATCCTAGATCCAAGACTTGAACTGCAGTTGACCAAAGGGGAGTCCAGTGCCTTAACCACCATATCTCCTGCTGGCCCCATTTAATTTTTAATTTTTAACATATATAAGTGATTACTGAAAGTAGTAACTGGTTATTTAAAAGCTCTCTTTCTGCCTAAATATAGAAGCTGAATCTATACAGGCCAGTCCACCACCAGCACCAACTGGGACTTCCAGGGCCTTGGACAATGTTGACATAGACATTGTAGTAACATCAAGCACCTCTTGGCCTTAACTTATCCATTACTGGGTTTTATTTAGGAACTCATGCAAACCTAAAACACCCTTATGAGGATATTGCTATTTTCCATATGTTATATACAGTTAATCTAAGGAAGAGAGCACTTGAATAACCTGTGTGACTAGTTACTGCTGGGACCATGGAGATAAGTTACACAGCCTATTTCAAGTCTCCTTAGCCCACCTGCATGTTTTGAGCAAAACAGAACCTCAAAAACAAATGCTAGCAAAAATACCAAGGAAATGAATCACCCATACTTTCCTATTGGGAATGTGAAATGGTACAACTATGCTAGAAAAACAACTTGTAGATTTCTTTAAAAACTAGACATACAGCGATCATATAGCCAGCAATCATACTCTTGAGCATTTGCCCCAGAAAAATATAAGTTTACGTACACACTAAAATATACACAATAATGCCTATGACAGCTTTATTTGAAATAGCACAAAACTGGAAACTATCCAGCTGTCCATCAGCAGGAGAATGGTTAAATAGACTGTGGTACATCCAGACTCTGGAATACTACTGATCAATTAAAAAAGAATGGACTATTGATATTTGCAAAATCCTAAATGAATCTCCAAAGAATTACGCTGAATAAATAAAGTCAGTCCTGGGGCCAGCGGGTGGCATGGTGGTTGAGGCACTTGTCTCCCGCATGGCCAGCTGTGGTTTGAGTCCCAGACCCGGTGGCTTGAAACTCACACCAGGCGAGTGTGTGTGCATGCCCAAAATCCTGAAAGGAGAATGGAGAAGAAGGGGTTGCAATGGAGCCATCACCTCTAGGGGGTGATTTCTTGCTTTCTGCCTCTCTGTGTCCCTTTGTTTCTCTAGCAAGCACATGCGCCCTATAGCAAAAATCACTCTTAAAAAAATAAATAAATATGTACATCACTGAAATTTCTCATTTTTGTAAAATCTGTTGTGTCTATGAATAGGAGAAAATATATTAAAAGATATTATTAAATTCTATTTTTTATACTTTATATTCATACATTGTATTAGTTTGAATATTTTACTATATACACACTTTAAAAAGATATTTTTATTGAGGCAAAAAAGTAACACCTAAAAACTAGTTGACAGAGATGCTTATTAGATACCTGCCAATCATAAAATTTCCATGGTATTACAGAAAAAAGCCTTGTTTTGGTCAAACATGAGACACTTTGTTGTCCCTCTGTTGAAATGCTGCAGGTTTATGGGACTGTCTTCCACATGATCCAAGGAAACCCCTTCAAGCTAAAGGCCTTGGTGGACAAATGGCCTGATTTTAACACAGTGGTTATCCGCCCTCCTGAGCAGGTAAGATGCCAGATATGGAATGAATACGCCTCTATGTTCATACTTGATATGTGTCTACCATGGGCCCATTAGATTCAGAGGATACAGAAATAAATAATAGTGATGGCTGACAACTGCCTGTGCTCAAGAAGCTCACAACCTGGAGTAGAACACTGAATTACAAAGTCTACAGATAAATTGCAGCACACTATGGAATGTGCAGACGTATGAGCCAAATCCACTGTAACACAGGGAGAAAGCTGATTAAAAGTGTATGTGACACACTCTCACTGATTCAAAAGATTCCCTCAACCAGCATTCTGCTGATACTAAAGACCAAACATCCTTTGCTATTTCTTGCATTTGGTCCATGGGAATTAGAGGCAACCAATGGAAGATTGTGCTTTTGTTTGTTTGTTTGTTTGTTTTTAAGGTTTTTGCCATAGGGTGCATGTCTTTCTCACCAGAAAGAGACAGAGAGAAGGAAAGTGAGAAGTCAGCCCTTAAGGATGGCCATGTCACAATTCTTTCTCCTCCATTCTCTTCTCGGGATTTGGGATACACACTCATACACACCAGGTATGTTTTTCAAGTTGCCGCATCTGGGGCTTTAACTGCAATCGGTCATGGAGTCTAGTACCTTAACCATGCCACCTGCTGGCCCAGATTGTGCTATTTTAAGGTCATTTTGATGACATAAGAGGAGGTTAATCTTTTGTCATAAACATTAAAAGAACATTGACTAAACTTCTATACTGTAGTAAATAAGATCCTGGTTCCAATTTCAACTATTATCCTATGGGGAAAAATATTTCTTATCTTTAAAAAAACATCAGCCTTAAACCACACCAACTTCATCATCCTAGAGCACAACTGCTCATTATGATAGTTCTCATCAGCATGTTGCACTGTATTGTCATCAACTGTCACCAATAAAGTCAATGAAACAGGCCAGAAGAAAAAAAATAAACACTTGTGGTTGAGGTCCTAGGAAGAGAATCAGAGTGGCTGCTTGACGGAATTTTCACTACAGTTAAATAGTGAAGCTTAATAATTTTGTAAAGGGTAGGATAAAAAATAAATGCTATTTCCAAAGAAGGACAAGAACAATTGCAAGGCATAGGTCTGAAACAGCAGAGGATTAAGGAAAATCAATGGCAAAATAACATGGTTAAAATATGTGCTTATATTTTGTATAATAACTTTGTTAAATTAATGAAATTAAATAGTTAATATATTTCAAAAGTAAAAAAATGTGTAATTATATTATAAGGTTTTGGTTTAAGATAAAATTGATAAATATTAGAAATACCAAAACATACAATATATTTTTTAAAGAACTATTTATTTAATTCTATTTGTTATTTTCAATTTGACCAGAGAGACAGAGAGAGAGAGAAAGAGAAAGCGAGAAGAAAAGCCACCAGGTTCCGGACTCAGATCACGGTTGACCATGTGGGAATCTTAATGCCTTTAACCACTATGCCATCTGCTGGCCCAAAACACAATATTTTAAAATTCGCTATATGGTGCATCATGTGCTCACCAGAGAGGGACAGCGAGATGGAGGAAATGAGAAATCACTCTCCAGAAAAAGTGGCCATGCTTCTTCCCTTCTTCTTTTGGGATTTTGGGCATGCAAGCACACATACTGGGCATGTTTTTCAAGCCTCTGGATCTGAAACTCAAACTGTGGAATTGGTCATGGGAGACCCAGCTGCGTTAACCACCATGCCACTGGTTGGCCCCACATTATCATCTTTGTATACTTATTTAGAAGTGGAATTAGTAAAAGTATTATTCTAAAAACACCAAATTAAATAGCAAATTAAAATGAAGACATTTTACTTATTAATAGAGACTTGAATGAGAAATAATATTATGTGAGCTACTTTAAAAAATCCAATCTTGAAAATAAAGTTGGATTGGAAATACCATTGCTGAGTAGGAAGTATGTTTGTTGAATGTCTTCCAAATAGTGGAGGAAAAATAATTTTCTGATTCTGCACTGGTTGAGGTAATTTTTTTCCTCTTACCCATTTCTGCAACCAGATAATCCCATCTGAGGTTTCATCTATTTGCTAGATATATTTGAATAAATATGTTTCATCTATGTGCTAGATATCTTTGTTTGAAGGAACTGCAGTTTGTTTAGTAATAATAGAATTTTTTAAAGAAAGCACATTTAGTTCAACGTTTTATTTGGCTTCACCAATTAGAGAATGATATGCTAATCCTATTGTCTCTATTGGATTTAATAATGACCTAGTCAGAGCCTGTTTTCTAAAAATCTTTGCATTAGAACAAGACCTACTCTTTCAGATAAAGATTTTACTGGGTCATTATTATTTTAACTCTTCTTCTTGGGACTTACAGAGAAATACATAAAAATTATTTCAAATGGACTATCTTTGTTTGATTTGAATTTTTAAAAAATGTTGCTAGAGGGTGCATGCACTCACCAGACATCGACAGAGAGTGAGAGTAAGAGAGTAAGAAAGCATTCCCAGTGGGGGATGGTAATGTTGTAATCCCTCCTCTGTTTCTTCTCTATAGATTTGAACATGCATGCACACATGCCTGGCATGTTTTCCAAGCTGTGGATCCAGTTCTTAAACTGCACAATTGGCCTTGTGAGATCCAGTCACTTTAACCATCATACCACTGACTGGGTCTGAATTCAAAATTTTAAAGCACTAGCTAAGTTTGGACTTATTTGTATTGAGGACATTTTTCATTATTAATTAAATAAGGGATTTATTGACTTGACCACATAATGTAAATAATTCGCAAAGGAATTTATATACTGTTAATAATTCCTAAACGTAATATTCCAATAGAAAATACTGATTTTAGAATATAAAAATATCAGGTTGACCTTGTGGCCTAGTAGTTGAGGGAGCCAAATCCCACATGGCCAAACTCATGATTGGAGTCCTGACCCTGGTAGCCTGGAAAACATTCAGGGTGTGTGTGTGTGTGTGTGTGTGTGTGTGTGTCCCAGATCCTGACAAGGTGGAGAAATGGAGAGGAGACTAGCAGCATGACTATGTTCCATTGAGGAGGAGGGCTTTCTCCCTCTTCCTAACTCCCTCTGTCTCTGTCTCTGCCAAGTGCATGCATGCAACTTTGAGCAATAAAAATATATACATATCATAAGATAATGGAATACTAAAAATCAGTATGATAATCACCAAAAATAAACATTTTGATTGATTCTTCTTTTCCTAATCCAAACAGGAGATGACGGATGACCTTGATCACTATACCAATACTTACTTAATCTATTCCAAGAACCCCCAAAAATGTCAGGAATTCCTTAGCTTGCCAGAAGTCATCAACTGGAAACAACATTTGCAGATTCAGAGTAAGACAACTGTGATGTGTGCTAGTATTGGGATTTCCTTTATCTCTATTTGCAGGGTCACTTTTTACCTTGAACAAACACTCCTATATCCAATATGCCTTTCCTCTAAGCTCTAAGCATCCAGTTTGCTCTCCTTTCCCTGTCTCCACTACAATCACCTCCATAAGGAATTAAAACTTTAAGACCGCACTGTCTGAGGTTTACATATGAAACTGTGAGCAATACGATTTCTTATGTGGTGAGAACTCATGATTCATTCTCTGGTTTGGGAACAGAGCTTTCTCTCTGTCTCATCTCTATTTAATCACCCTATCAAATTTAAAAAGGAGAATTTCAGTGGTTAAAAAATATGCTCTTCAAAGGAAGTCTACCTAAAATTCCATCTTGGTGAGCCTGTTATTAGCTGTGTCATCTAGGGTGAGTAACAGTTTTCTGTGGGCCAGTTTCCTTAGGTATAAAAATAATTATAATAATACCTAAAATATACAGTATTTAAGGATAAAATGAGGTCTTGGGAAGAGTATTTTTGCATAATTCTGGTTTTATTAGTTATGTTTTCAAACAATTCCCAAATCTCAGCTTATAATAGCAATTATTTCTTAGTCCACAATTGTGTGAGTCAGCAATTTATACTGTGCTCAGCTAGGCATTTCTTCTACTAGCCTCGCCTAGATTCATCATGTGACTGAACTCAGCTGGAGGGTTGTCTGTGAGCTAGAAGGTCTAGGTTACTCATGATCCCAAGACAGGCTGCTAGTACTAATTTTGTGTGTACTAGTTATTGACTGCAGTGATGGAAGTGGATTGGAACAAATGTAGAAGTCACAGGGTTCTCAGGGGCAGCAAGAGAAGGGAAATCTCAATGCACACTTTTTAAGACTCTTACTGAATCACATTTGCTATTTTTTCCATTAGCCAAAGCTTAAAAAAAAGCCTAGGAGGGAAAATCAGGGTAGTGAGGTAGGAACTAACCAGGATCATGATAGCAATAATGCATTGCACTGGATGCAGATAAATTGTGGAACATATTTTAGTTACTATGCTTATACATTCTCTCCTTTGATAGTCAAATGTACTGTGATGTATTCAGGACTTGTGGGATTATCCAAATCAAATTTGAAATTTAATAAAAAGTGGAATTAGGTAGCCATTAAAAGCCTATGTCATGGGAACCAGCAGTTAGCGTAATGGCTATGTCGCTGGACTCCCACGTAGTCGACCGTGGTTCGTGTCCCGGACCCGGTGGCTTAAAACTCACGCTGGGTGCGTGTGCGTGCGTGCCCAAGATCCCGAGAGTAGAATGGAGAAGGGATTGCGGCGTGACCATCCCCCCTGGGGGGTGATTTCTCGCTTTCTGTCTCTATGTCTCTCTCTGCCTGTCTGGCGAGCGCACACGCCCTACAGTGAAAATCTCTCCAAAAAAAAAAAAAAAGCCTATGCCATGAGTGAATACAGCATTTGAGTGACTTTAAATCCATAAACTTTCCAACATTGAATAACTTTTCTGGAACATTAAAATAAATATATCTTAGGACCAACAGTTGGCGTAACGGCCATGTCACTGGACTCCCATGTAACTGACCGCAGTTTGAGTCCTGGACCTGGTGACTTAAACTCACGCCAGGCATGTGTGCGTGTGTGCCCAAGATCCTGAGAGGAGAATGGAGAAGGCATTGCAGCTAGGCCATTCCCCCTGGTGGATGATTTCTCACTTTCTGTCTCTGTCTTTCTGGCGAGCGCACGCCTCCTATAGCAAAAACCTCTCCAATAAGTAAGTAAATAAATAAATAATATAAATAAATAAATATATCTTATGTGTTATTTCATATGATTCTTCCTTTTCCCCACCTAGGTTCACAGTCCAGCTTGAATAAGGTGATAGAAGATCTCGTAGCTATTAATTTGGGCAAGGTCAAGCAAACCCAATGCTTTCTCTACATGGTAAAGGAGACAGCAAAGAAGTTAAAACCTTCCTTGTTAGATGCAAAGAACTTAATACTGAGCAGTGGCAAACCTAAGTGCCTGTAAGTTCGATAGAAGTCACTCAGCCCTAATCACATGTCTTCAAGCTTCTGATGTCTCTAGACATTCCTTTGCTTGTGGTTACTACTTCAGTCTCTAACCCCACCTGCACATGGCCTTGTCTGTGTTCCTTCACCTCTTTTGTCTGTTATAAGGACATTGTCACTTAAGACTCACCAGGTCTAGAATGATCTCCTGCTGAGATCTTTAACATAAGGATTCTAACATCTGCAAAGACCCTTTTTTCTAAATAAGTTCACATTCACGTGTTTTGGGTAAAAATATCTTTGGGGGTTTGGAGGAGAGAAGGAAGGCACCATTTAAACTCTTATACCTTAGAACTTCTCTCCCTGCCTTTGCTCTGGCCTTCCTACTGTTTTCTGCATAGTCGGAGTAATCTTTTTTAATGGTAAATTAGCCATATCCCTTGCAAGCTTTTTCTTTTATGTCAAATGGGGATCGTACTACTTAAGTTAGCCAACCTGGAGAATTATGGCCAAAGTCAAATGAAACAATTGTGGCTGATTTTTGTGGCGTACTTACTACCTTCCAGGTGCTGGCTCTAATTGCCTAAATCCATAGGCTCTTTTAAGCCTCCAGTGATTCTACAAGGGAGGTGTGTTTGTCATCCCTAGTCGTGAGACATGGAAATGGAGGAGATGAGAGATGGAGGTCAAGACCAGCTCTAAGTCACATACATGGCATTGATATGAACCTGGGCAGTCTGGCAACAGAGCATACCCCTTAGTTATGCTCCTATTTGTCTCTCAGGATAAGCTGGGGGAAATATATGTAATATTTCATTATATTTGTGATAGTAATGATTGTCTTCTTCCCTTATTTTCATTAGCAACCAAGAGATGTTTAAATTCTCATCCCTGGATGTTACCCACGCTGCCTTGGTGAATAAATTCTGGCATTTTGGGGGCAATGAGAGAAGCCAGAGATTCATCCGGCGCTGCATCCAGACCTTCCCCAGTTTCTGTCTGCTGGGGCCAGAAGGGACTCCTGTGTCTTGGACCCTGATGGACCAGACTGGAGAGATGCGGATGGCAGGTACCGTGCCTGAGTATCGGGGCCATAGTCTCATATATCATACCATCTATTTCCAGATCCAGAATTTGAAAAAACTTGGCTTCCCCATGTACTCCCATGTGGATAGGGCCAACCGCACCATGCAAAAACAGAACCTCGCCCTGGAAACTATTATCTTGCCCTGTGACTGGAATCAGTGGAATTGTGTACCTCTATAAAGCCAGCTCCAAACATAAGACAACAAGCCCTAATAAGCCCAAACCTAGAGCTGTGCATGTGGCTGGAGAATGAAATGTAATGGATTGAACTTAGCTCTGGGAAGCAGTGATCTGGTACACCAGACAGCCTGGGTCTCTACCTCCAAAGAGCTCACAAATTTTCCCTTAGTTTCTTCAATATTAAGCTTTTTTATTCCTGCGCCCAGGTCATACAGCTCCTGCATTTCCAAGATATTTGTGGTATGTTTAAATAAGTCACATGCTTGCTTTTTAATCCCCCCCTCCCAGAGGGCCTGTGTGCTCACCAGAGAGACACAGAGAGGAAGAGAGAGAAAGCACCCTTAATGGGGGTGTGGTCACATAATTTCTTCTTCATTTCTCCATCCTATCAGGATTTGGGGTACATGCACTCATGCTTGGTGTGCTTTTAATCCCCTGGGGGTGGGATTCCAACAGTGTGGTCAGTCATGTGGTATCTGGCCCTCATCAACCACTAGGCTACAGGGACAGCCCCAGATCCATGCGTTTCTACATAGCTCTTCCCATAACTCCTAGCTCAGTGACTCTTTACCCTTTGGACATGGGTTCTATAATTGTCCCCATGGCTGTCTATGGCTTTTCTTTTTCTTTTTCTTTTTTTGGAGAGGATTTTGCTATAGGGCGCGTGCGCTCACCAGACAGACACATAGAGACAGAAAGCGAGAAATCACCCCCCAGGGGAGATGGTCATGCTGCAATCCCTTCTCCTCCATTCTCCTCTCGGGATCTTGGGCACGCATGCACACGTGCCTGGCGTGAGTTTTAAGCCACCGGGTCCGGGACGCGAACCGCAGTCGACTACATGGGAGTCCAGCGACATAGCCATTACGCTAACTGCTGGTTCCCTCTATGGCTTTTCTTTATTGGCTGGAGAGTGGCCTGAGTAAATCTCTGAAAAAAAAAAATGACCCTTTCTCAGTACGTTTTAAGCCTTGTATCATAATCATGAAAATATATTATACACACTTAACACGTGTGCACATACACAGTATGCATGATGCAATGGAATTACTTTTAAAAGTCTAACTAGCATTACTATCATTGTTTGCAAGTCATACGCAGGAATGAATATCAGCATTTCTTTATAGATCCCTCTCCCTTGTCCCCTTACAATGAAGAAATTTTTTGAATGTGGAAGCTTAATCTACATGGTCCATGAAAGGACGTAAATGTAGGAAAGGAGGAAGTGAAACACTTGAACCTAGGGAGGTAGATATTTATTATCAGGTACTATGGAAGGTTTTATGAGGGATGGAGACTGGGTCCCACTTGGGAGCAGTCTACTGCTTTGAGATACCTGACCCCACCTTGGTGCAAATGAGGGAGATATGGAGGTCTGGAGATGGAGGGAGTCACCAGAGAAGTCCTATCTCAATCTCCCTAGGATGACTGTCCCAACAGCACTTGAAGGGAACAACACCTACTCAAAGGAGGAAGGAAAGAAAGGGCATGTCACCAGTTTGAAGTCTGGGACCATCACAGCCCAATTCTTTAGCATATCAAAGTAACAATTATGCTTTGGGGTTTTTTTTTTAATTTTTTTGCCTGTTTTGTATTTATGTTTCATCAGTGTACATCTGTATATCACACCAAATGGTTTTTCCAAGCATAAATAGAGTGTATATTAGTCCAGTCAAAAATATTACCATATACATCTATACTTTACTAGTAGTCAAAACACCACCCTCAGAACTTTCCTGAAATCAGCAAGGATGGGGCGCCTTTAGGACACTAAAGAAAAGGACAGGGAGCTTCCTGACACTCAGAGAAAGAGAGATCATAGGATGCCAGGAAGACACATGGAGAGAGAAAGAGAAACAGAGTAGATGTCATGATACTTGAGTTATGGAGAGATTGCCTCTTTTTTGTTTTGTTTTGTAGAGATTTTTGCTATAAGGTATGTGTGCTCACTGGAGAGACAGAGAAACAGACAGCAAGAAATCACCCCCCGCCCCAGGGGGGGATAACCATGCCACAATCCCTTTTCTCCCATTCTCCTGTCTGGATTTTGGGCACATCCTGGTTTGAGGTTTTTTTGTTTTTAGGTTTTTTTTATTTTATTTTATTTTATTTTATTTTTGAGAGAGAGAGAGAGAGATTTTTTGCTCTAGGGTGCGTGTGCTCACCGAAGAAACAGAGAAACAGATAGTGAGAAATCACCCACTGTGAGCCTGGCCACGCCACAATCCCTTCTCCTTCATTCTCCCCCTGGGATCTTGGGCACGCACACACATGCACCCAATGTGATTTTCAAGTCCCCAGGTCTGGATTTGAACCATGGTTGGCCATGTGAGAGTCCAGCAATGTAATTGCTATGCTATCTGCTGGCCCTAAAAGACTTCCTAATAGGTTAAATTTTGTCACAAGTTACAAATATGTAAAATAAGAAGTATACCAAACTATTTTTAGGCTAAAATATTAGTACTGTGGATTTGATTCTCTTAGATGTTTGTATATTTCATTCCATTTCTTATAAGGATAAAAATACATGCTCAGGCCAGCCAAGTAACATAGTGGTTAAGGTGGCTATATCCCACATGGCTGACTGTGTGGTTCTAGTCCCAGACCCCATGATTTAAAAAAACAAACAGGTTGGGACCAGGAATTAGCGTAATGGCTATGTCGCTGGACTCCCACGTAGTCGACCGTGGTTCGTGTCCCAGACCCGGTGCCTTAAACTCACACCAGGTGTGTGTGTGTGCGTGCCCAAGATCCTGAGAGGAGAATGGAGGAGAAGGGATTGTGGTGTGGCCATCCCCCCTGAGGGGGAGATTTCTCGCTTTCTGTCTCTCTGTCTCTCTCTGTCTGTCTGGCAAGTGCACGTGCCTTATAGCAAAAATCTCTCAAAAAAAAAAAAAAGAAAAAAAACAAACAGGCATGTCTGTGCATGTGCCCAGAATCCCCAAAGGAGCATGGAGGAGAAGAGACTGAGGCATGGTCATCCTCTCTGGGGATTGCTTTTTCATTTTTTTCTCTCTTTTTCTCACCTTCTATTTCTCTCTGGCAAGTGCGCACACCCTATAGTAAATTTTAAAAAAGAAAGAAAGGAAATAAAAATTCATGCTCACTAAAAAAGGTTTTATTACTTCAGATTATTGAAGATATTGACTAACAAACAGGAGACTAGCAGTCTGTCACCATGATGGGACATAATGACCATGATACATAGATGCTATATCAGTAGTTTATAACTTCAAGAGGGAAGTGGTCACCAAATCTACCTCCCAGGTTTAGGACATTATCCAGTTCTTCTGTCTATTCAGATGCATGGTCTTGAAAAAGTTTAGAGAAAATACAAAATTTTTGCACCAAAATAAACTTATACATTAATTTCATTTTTCCTCAAACTTTTTGAAGTCTTTGTACAATTATTCAGCTCCATCAGGCCAATCAGTTGATTGAGTTTTAGATTATTCACATATATAAATATATTTCTCAGTATACAGTTGATCCTTGAACAACAGAAAGATTAGGAGCACTTACTACACAGTCAAAAATCTATTTCTTCTTTCCTTTTTAGAGATATTTTTGCTATAGGGCGCATGCACTTGCCAGAGAGACAGAAAACGAGAAATCATCCCTCAGGGAGGATGGTCACACCACAATCCCTTCTCCTTCAGTATCCTCTCGAGATTTTGGGCATGCATGCACACATGCCTAGTGTGAGCTTTAAGCTGCTGGGTCCAGGATTCGAACCATAGTCAACTATGTGGGAGTCCAGTAATGAAATCATTACACCATCTGCTGGTCCTCCAAAAATCTATTTCTAACTTTTAACATAACTACTAATGTTGGCCAATATCATTACCAAAAACATACAGCCAACTAACATATTTCATTTTTTATATGGCTTATAAGCCATATTCTTAAAGTAAGCTAGAAAATAGAAACTGTTTTTAGGAAAATCATAGAGAAGAGAAAATCATTCATCATTTTTATTGAAAAAAATCCACATATAAGTGGACTTACTTCCAGCCCACATTGCTTAAAGGTCAACTGCTAAAGTAGAACACCTTAAGTTTGACAGGGTCCTAAAAAGTGTAAATATAAAGACATTCGTTGCTGATAAAATCTTTTTTCTTTATATGCTTAGAACCATGCAGCTACTAAAGATATTTAAAAGGAAATCTGGTAGGATTCTGGGTGTTCCATTTGGCTTTATCAAGTTGATCTAACACCTTTGGATGTAATTCTACTGTACTCTCTCTTTGAGCTGGAAAACATCTAATTAAGGGGACCAGCAGTTGGCATAATGGCTATGTAGCTGGACTTCCATGTAGTTGACCATGGTTCAAGTCCCCCTGGCTTAAACTCCGGCCAGGCACGTGTGCAGGTGTGTCCAAGATCCTGAGAGGAGAATGGAGGGATTGTGGCATGGCCATCCCCCCTGGGGGGTGATTTCTCGCTTTCTGTCTGTCTGTCTCTTTCTGGTGAGCACATGCACGCTATAGCAAAACATCTCAAAAAAAAAAATATATATATATATACATAATTAGGTAAACACCTCAAGCCAATTAGTCTAAATTACTACCAACATCATGTACCCTGATTTGGTATGTTGAGAAAACCACAATCTCATTCACGTAGTATGTCTAACATAATTTTAATCAATTAATAAGGAAACAACTATTTAAACCCACATTTGGGATCATCTAAAAAGCATCAACTTGTGCTTTATAAAAATGTCAATGTCATGAATAAGAAAGACAATCTGAAGAACGATTTCAGATCTTAATAGTCTAGACAGATGGCTGACCCTGAAAC